TATCATTTTAACTTTCATTTTATACAATTTCCTTTTTAAAACAATAAAAGTACCAATATTGTTTTAAGTCAAACAATTTCATTTTTTGTAATATTCTATAATTATGTTCAAAAGTATGTTTATAGATTTTTATGTTCTCTCACATGGTTGTGCATGCCTTAAATTTTTAAATTAGGATTCCATGTTCTTTCTAATTTTTTTTTCCAATTTATATATCCTCTTTTGTTTTTTCATAAGTCTTTTTATTTTATTCTCTATGTACCTTGTTGTGACTTATATTTTTTCTAAATTACTATTTTTCAATTTTTGTTCTCTCCCTACCTTTTTATGATTTATATTCTCTCTATTTTCTTTCTTATTTTTTTATAATTAGTTTTGACAACTAACATTTTGTATTTTTCTTAATTAGTTTGGACTATTAGAAATTTTTTTTTCTAATTAGTTTGGACTATTAGATTATTGAGAAATTTCAAAAAATGCCACTTTACAAAAATACCACACTTTTAAAATCTTTACAAAAATGCCACTTATTCAAAATTATTTTTCTTTATATTATTTATGTTTGGGTTAACTATGTTCTATTAGGGTTTAGTTATGAGGGTTTAAGGGGGTTTAGGGGTCAAAACATTTTTTAGTGTTTAGAATTTTAAGATATATGGTTTAAAAATCTATAATTAGTGGCATTTTTGCAAATGAACGCCTCTATGTGGCATTTTTGCAAGTGTGCACATAAAAAGTGGCATTTTTACAATTTCTCCAAGATTATTTCTTCTTTTTAATAATTTTGTTAGTTACTTATCATTTATTTTGTTAGTATTCTATTTTTAGTTTTGTTTTAATATAATAAGATTTTAATTATTACACACGATCTAGTGAGTTACAATTTTGTGTACGTGTCGCACTCTCACCTTCTTTTATATAATAAATATTTTGTTTTATCATTCACATTTTATTTTTCTTTATTAACTTTTTTATTTTCTCTCCGCTTTTTATCTTTACGGTTTATACTCTTTATTCTCTTTGTTAATTTACTTTATAATTAGTTTGATAATTTTCTTTATCTCTTTATTTTTGACGATYAAAAAAAAAATTTTTTTTATTAGTTTGAAATATAAGGAAA